AAAGACAGGGACGTTTGTGTTGTGTGTGTGTGTGTGTGTGTGTGTGTGTGTGTGTGAGTGCGCGCGCGCGCGTGCGCGTGAATGTATGTTTGTACACCTGACCATGATATAAACACAACGCGCGCACGCGGGGCTAGTCCTCGGACCTGATGGAGAGCGCGCCGAGGCTCCTCCAACGATGTTTTTGTTGTTTTTCAGAGCGAATTCGCTCGCTTTTTTTTCTTTTCATTTGAAATAAAAGAAACACTGCCGCGTGAGCACGGCGCTGCTTTATGCCCCGGGGCCATAGACAGGCCATAGCATGCATGTCGGGAGCATGGAAAAAAAGAAAGAAAGAAAAAAGAAACCCGGTGAAACCGTCTACAGCAGATTTCCTAGGAATTTACCTCAATCGGGTCAGTGAGCATCGGGTCCAGCTGCACTACAAAATCAAGTAAGCGCTTTCGCCTTGGACAGGAGGTGGAGGTAGAAACCTTCTTTAGAAACGTACATATTCTCGCACCACCGCTCAGGGGCAGTGCGAAACGCACAAGCCTCTTCCGGCGGGTTACGCAGTACCTTGAGAGCGAGCTTAACGGAGAATTACACGCAACAAATGCGTTGTGAGGACGCTTCAAAACATCGCATCCCCGCCTTCAATTAAACTGCCTTATTCTGGTGCAAGAGAGGGTGTAGCGCTCCGAGATTCCTCCACACAAAAGGAAACCCCTCTCCGCGTTGCGTCAGCTAAAAGCGCCGTTTTCTTTTCTGTTGCAAAAGGGCGCAAGCTGAAAGTGCGTGACCGGGCGGCTCACCAGACGACACAACATTCTCACGGCATACGGGCCGCATCGGGCCGCGCCGGGGCCGCAGCGTCCGCCTGCCGCCGAGCTACTAAGGCGGCTGCGCTGGCGGAGCGGCCGGGCGCAGACAATAGGGCTTATCTCCCCTCTGTGTGTGTGCACGTCTGCGAGTGTGTGCGTGTGTGTGTGTGTGTGGTTACCGTGCAAAATGTATGCGCCGCCCCGGCTGTATCGCGTTGCTAGACGAAGAGCCCCCCTCCCCCTTGTTCTCAACCCCATCCTCCCGCAGCGGTCTGGAGGGACGGAAAGGGATGTGCACGCCAGGGGGGTGAGGTGGGGGGGGG